GCACAGTCTTTTCTGCTCATTCCTCACTCTTGAAGTTTGACTTTTGTCCTGTCCCCTCAGTCTTGTTGTGGTCCTTTCTCCTCCCCATATCAGGTTGCTTGTTCCATGCCCATTCTCCTTGCCTATTCTTTAGACTTCTCATCCCAATCACCACTCTTTAGACTTCTCATCTACAGCTGAGTTTCTTAGTCTAGCCAGTTGCACTTCCTTTTCCATTCTCCTTGTCCAAGATCTCCCCTTCCAGTCAGACTCCCTCAGCTCTCCTCCCTGTCTCCTTGTATTTTTGTCATTACCCGACTAGTGCCAGTTTCCTCTCCAGCTCTTCATCCAGTCTGTTTTTGCTCCCCATCCTGCAAAGCCATTCGGCTTTCAGATTCCCCCCTCCCTCTTCCCATTTCCCTGAAACAGATCCTTGTTTCCTTGACCAACCAGTCTTTTCCTTCCTCTTCAGTTTAGTCAATATCCTTCTGCTCCCCTAATTCCAATTTCACGAGACTTCTTGTCCCTGTCTGTTCATTTCTCTTTCTCTCGTTCCCTTTGCATGCGAGTCAAACTGCTTACTGTTCCATAATCTTGACTGCCAGTTGGGGGAGCCACTGTAAGCACAGGAGAGAGTCCCTGCCTTGTTACAGTGGTTGGCCTTACTCTGGATCAGAGCCTCCCTTGCACAGAAGTACTGAGTTGCTATAGCCCTGGCCTAGCACACATTCAGTTACTCTGTGGGATTGGTGCATGCTTGGAGCTATGAGGTGAGGAACAATCACTTTTGGAGTTCATGTGAGAGCAGTCTGGTCAATACAAGGGGTAGTGAGACTTGAACATCCTCAGTGAGGATGGATTCTCCAGAGTTCCTAGCTGTTAACTTCTAGCAAGTCTTTACTGAACATTTTTCAAAGGCTTGTAACTTGGTCAAATTTGGGTGGATTTTCATGGGTAGAGCAAAAAACAAGTTCCCGACTCAAAAACCTCCACCCTGTCCAATTTCAGGTGCCTGCCCTAAAGCTTGGAAGTACTAATATTTTGAAGAAAAGATCCCAAGAACTTTTTAATGTGATCAAAGTAAGGTATTTTCCCCATCTTCATTATCTGCAAAGGGGAGATATTGCTCACGAAAATTTTCAACTGAAACTATTAGTTTGGCAAAGTTATAAGCAACTTTTCTTCAACTTTCTTCTCTGTCAAGAGTGCAACTTAGTGAAGATCTTTGTTTGCTC